ACTGATATTAACTTATATTTATGATAATACAATTAATTTTCTATCCGGCGAATTGATGCTTTAGCATCAAAATCTCTACTTGTTCAATCAGTAGACCGTAAACAGTCAAGAAAGGTCAGTTTCAGGTAAAGTTTAGATTTAAATAATTCAACATTAAGGTTGATTTGTCTAAATATGAACAAAATCCGTAAATAAATAATATAGTTAATACCCTTTAAAAAAGAACAATAATTTGACCTTCACGGTCAAGATCATTTAAAAGTCAAGGTCAAATTTGAATTATTTAACATGTCGGTTACGGTCACAAGAGTTGTTTTGTCCAATCAATGGCAAGCATGAATCTAATCGGTAGTAGAATGAATTAATTTGACATTAAATGTCAAGGTCAATTATTAAAGGTTACGGTCAGGTTTAGTTTACAGCCTTTAAGGTCGTGTCCTTAAGGTTATTGTGAATCCATTCATTAATTACAAAGTTATAGACAATTATAGCAAAATCGTTAAAAATTAAATAAGTTGACCTTCGAGGTCAAGGTCCTTTATGAGTCAATGACAAATCCACTTTAATCTCCTGGGCAGTCTTGTCCTAAAAATTGTTATTTTAACAAACACTTGCAAGGTAGATATGTCATTTTCATTTACACATTATAGGTGATCACAATATGAACATATAGTGTCATTAAAAAAAAACTAGCTTTTTTTTTCTTTAAAGAAAAGACCAACTTTACTTAACCCTTAATAGGGAATACAGCTTCCCATACAAAGTTATTCATTCTTTTTTTCAAATTAGACATAGTCGGTAAGAATTTCATTGATTTCAATAAATTTCTGTGATTCAAATATGTTACTCAAGGATGAGCATAGTATTTAAAATTTAAATATTACTTGACTTGACTTGATGTCGCTGATGGCATGTAGAAATATAAGCAAGTTTTAATATGACACCTATTTATAACTGATAATATGAATTTAGTCGCCGTTATTTGTCAATCTATAAATTGCTGAATTGTCAAAATGATTAAGTCTTCAAGGATAAATCCATTTTGAATACCTGAAGTCATTTACTATAATCTGTTCCTAGAGAAATTGATATGGAAAAATGCAATATAGACTTCACATTCGAATAGTTTGAAATCACATAACATGTAATTGATATTAATCTACGGCATAATTTACTATTCAATTTTGATTAAAGGCCCATTATTCCGCCGAAAATGCTTTAATTTTTTTGTTTCTCAAAATCTGTTTATTTTTGGTTTAGTTTCTCTACTTGTTATAGAGTTTGTAAGCGAACAGCATGGATCCTGATCAGACTGCGCGGATGCGCAGGCTGGTCTGGATCCATGCTGGTCGCAAACCCATTATGTTGGTTTTGTCGTGACGCGGCTCAAATATGTATAGCATCTTACAAATCCTGTCCGACCTATTAAACTCCAAAAGTTAGTTTGTTGTACAAGTATAAAATTCAATTTACAATACATTTCAAATCGAATGAATTTAAAAAATAAAATAAATGAAAAACAATTATCATAAAGATAATGCTCATCTTTACGTACAAATCTTTTACTGCAGAAAATTGAAATCTAGGACATTCTTACTGAGTATATCTAATTTGAATAACTTTGTTTGAAAAGGAAGCTGCATTTCATATTACTGGCCAGGTTAATTTGGCCTTGTCTTGAAAAAAAATAACTGCACGTTTTTTATGGCACTATGCATGATTACTAGCATGCTTATATGTTTCTAAACCGTTACTAACGAAGAAAGTCAGCTTTGTATATCACCATTTGTCACCATCAATATCATAGTGGTGATATAAGTATGTTATAAGTAGCTAGCTCAAATCACGTAAATGTATTTATTAAATTGACAGTAGTTGGAATAAATTATGACCAAAAACTTACACGACACTGCAGCTGCGCATCTCCAGAATTATGTCAATTTTTTTGTTTTTGAAAATTGAAATTATTTTTTCAATGTACTTAGTAAAGTTTACAAATAATGTGATAATGTCTAGAGCGGCACTTAATATCCACAAAGGAAAACATGTAATATAATAAAATTTATAAAATGGTTATAAACATTGTCACAATTTGGTTGAATTTGCAAAAATAATTCAAAGCGTTACTTACATTGTAAATGTTCACACTGTTCTTGAACATTCAGTGCGTTTTTTATGATTTTAATATTTGAACATTTCTTGTGTGTAACTTCAGATACAGCTATCGGAATGCTGCCTGTGACAATTCTATATTTAGAAACATTATTTGAGCCGTGTCATGACAAAACCAACATAATGGGTTTGCGACCAGCATGGATCCAGACCAGCCTACCCATCCGCGCAGTCTGGTCAGGATCCATGCTGTTCGCTTACCAACCCTATTACAAGTAGAGAAACTGAATTGCGAACAGCATGGATCCTGAACAGCATGGATCCTGATCAGACTGCGCTGGTCGCAAACGCACTATGTTGGTTTTGTTGTGACGCGGCTCATTTCTTCTTTTATGTTCAATATCTTGGACATTCAGTAGATAGATAATCGTCAGTAAATAAGTGTATTATTGATAGTTACAAAATAAATATTATTTTTGACAGATGGTATGGCCTAGAATACACGGTTGTTTCCTACATAACCCGAGCAGCTAGATTGGGGAAATATGAAAAGGTACATTATTAAAATTATACTATGCTCATCCTTGAATCACATAATTTATTGAAATCTATGAAAATCTTACTGAATATATCTAATTTGAATAAGAGAAGGAATAAACTATGTATTGGAAGCTGCGTTCCCTATTACAGGTCAAGTAAAGTTGATCTTTTCTTTAAAAAAAACCCTGCTAGTTTTTTATGACACTATTCATATTCATATTGTGGCCCTCTACAGTGTGTAGAATTTGAAACATTACATATCTACTTTGTATGAAGTCAAAACATGTTTAGTTTTATATTCACAAAGATACTGTGTAGCAATTATCAATATTTTCTAATATCAAATCTGAGCTTAGTATAGCTTTAAAACATAGACGATTTCCACAACGTTTCAAACGTGCATTATTAAATGCTATACACGTGTATTTGAACGAGCACATTGCAAAACTGTCAAAATGAGAGTAAAAACAAAGACGTTATTTACTTTTGAAATATAATGGGAAATAACATTTTGTCTTCGAAATAAGGTAAAATTTTCAATATAAAGATTTACTTAATGTTTTATAAGTTAGGCCGCATAGACCAAACCTACAGAGTTAAAACTAAGTTTTGTTTTTATGTTTTCATATATTCAAAATATAAAAACTTCAAAATGTAATGGGTATTAGTATCCAAATATACGATATAGCGACACCATGGCAACAATATTACAGAAACAACATTGAACACCATTTATTGTTGCTTTATCTTTTTTCTTATTGATAATTTGGAAACGAGTGACTGATTTTCTCTGAACATGTTTCTGTTATATACTGTATTTCAAGACATTTTCGCGGAGACAAATATTTTGTGTTATTGTTGTAATTTGTTTACAATGGGCGAAATCTGTTCTTGAAAATCAGTTACCACTGCAGAAGTAACACCAATTCATAAACGGCAGTCTATTCCGGTGAAAAGTTCGATATGCATCTTTTTATGCACGAGTCTTATCATTTTTTTATCCCGATAAATTAAATAGGTACAAGCCTGGACTAATAACAAGTGACTATTTCCGTAACACAGGTATGCTGTATATGTTTTTCTATATGATAAATATATGTATAATCCGCCCTAAGAGGACTAGCTTATGTCGTACCCATTGAAAATATTATAGCATGATGTAAAACAACCGTTTAAATTAATCACCAAATTTGTTACGTTTTCGGTTGAAGTTTTGAAAAGCTATTATCAGACGACATAAATTATAAACATCAGCATGAACAGAAAATACGAGTTCAATGTGCTAGCCTTCGTGTCTTATTGATGCATTTCGCGGTCATAGTTGAATATAACAGACTATGATTTATATAAATTACGGGTACCATGAAAACTGCGGATCATAGTTAACATAATTCACGGCTATACTGAAACATTTGCGGAACACATTATATTATATATAAATCAAAGACATTTTTGAATGCCACGGATATATTATTAGTTATAAAGATCGTTGACAGGTTATATGGCCCTATATAAACGGCTATTTGTAAAAATAACCTGAGCCGTTAGGCGAGGGTTATATTGCAAACAGCCGTTTATATACGGCCATATAACCTGTCAACATTCTTTTTAACGAATTTATTATACAGCAAGCATCATTTTTAGAGAATAAAAGTAAGATTTCTTCATGAATCGACAGCAGCCGTGTATATAAAACTATATAAACGTCACGATTATCCAATGAAAAATGACGTTACATGCAGTATTATAAGAATAAATGTCTACAGAGCATTATTCATATAAAACGTGGCTAAAATAAAATACCTGCGATTTATTATTCATATAAACCTCGGTCTGCGAATCATTAATATTTACGTATATAATATAAATTGAGTTTTTTTTCCGTATACATTTATTTTCACTGAAACTTTTATATCAATATCATTGAGTTTTCATAATGTTCTAGGGTAAATTACTTTGACCGGCGTGTTGTTTTCATGCACTTCCGGAGCTATAAGAATATCTACTTGTTCAGATAAGTTCGAACTTCTGAGTTCTGGAAACTTCCAAATTTCGAACTTTTTGGTTACTCTCACAATTGTACGGTTTTCAGAAGTTAAACTTTAATTTTAAGACGCCACTGGTTATAATTATGTAAGTTGCCATTAATTCTACTTGTATTGAAGAAACTGAAAGTTTCCACTGCAGAAGTAACAACTTCTTCTCCGTGGAAGATGAACACACAGACAAACTCCAAAAGGGACACCTTTGTTTAAATGCCACATCATCAAAATAATTATATCTCTGTGCAAGCATAGACGCAAAGACTTAATTATTAAAATATCACCAACACCTTTTAAATATCTCACCTGAAGTAATAATATCAAAGCAGCCGAAAACAACAGCCTCATCTTGAATTAACTTCCGGTAGTTGTTGCTTTCGTTTCCCGTAGCTCACTTTTTTCCCCTCGATGTATGAAGAAAAATATCACAAAAGTTTTGTACAGATATATAACACACCGGTAATTTGTATAAAACGATTAACAAACTAACCATACGAAAGTTTACATATTTGTGAAGGTAGATGCACCGAGAGAAGATTCTGATTACAAGTTTAACGGTAAACGAGAGTGTGAGAGTATATCTGTAAAATCCAGTCAGGATTATCAGTTGAGACATAGCGGCGGATGAGTACGCCGGGTTACTCAAATATTTCACAATGGTCAAACTTTCTCTCAATGAAATATGCGACCTTTTTTAAAAACTATTTCCTTTGTAAAAGTCATTTGCGTATATGACACATGTTCCCATTACGAAATATTGTATGTGTTGGTCTAATTTTAAAAACGGTTACAAAATACAAATTGTTTGGCAATATTGACCGGAGACTGAATTATTTTCGGGATGTTTTTTCGTTAGTTTCCGTGATTTATTACGATTTACCCATTAATTTTTTATGTCCTCGATACTTTCATTTTCATAATTACGACCAAGATGGCTTAGTGGTAAGAAGGATGGTATTGTAATCGTGAAGTTGCGGGTTCGATACTCGATAAACATTTTATTTAGATTTGTTTTCCTTAAAAATACATGCAGCATTAGTGAATGAATGATTTGATAATCCGTTTATTTTTGTTTTTAAATTTTAATTAAGAGGTTAACTAGTTACGTAACTAGTTAACCTGATAACTAACTAGTTAATTAAGAGGTTAACTAGTTACGTAACTAGTTAACCTCTTAATTAACTAGTTACTTATATGGTTATCTGGTGGCAGAAATATGCCACCATAGATTGGCTTGCACAAAAACATAATAATCAAGTTAAATGCAAAATAAGGTAAAAAAAAACCAGAAAAGAAAATATAATGTTTAATTAAGATTCGAACCTACTATGAATTCAAATTGAAACTGAAAGTCTTGAGGCTTTTTTTGGCAAGTATTGTGTTATAACTTCAGTTATACATAAATCATGTAAACCGTTATGCCATACTTTAAAATCCGAAAGATTTACTTCGGAATCCGGTAATTACCAACAAAAGGTCATTGAAAATTCAAATGTCCTACGTCAATATTGCCAAATAATAAAATTGAAAAAAATCCTTTCATAATATTGCAATCATCAAAAAATCAGTCAAGGTTTTGTGTAGGAAACATACTTTTTTACTACCACCATCGAAAATGAATATATAATATCTGCTTTTGAACTAATATAACAGCTTATTTAAAGTTATATTACCACTAAATATAATAATAAAATAACCGTCTTTAATACAGAAAGAACTTTCTTCCTACAGCACATTAATATTTCAGATATTTCAGTCCATTGTTTTGAGAGAATATTATCAAGTACAAAAGAAATTATTCTTTCTAATTTAAGCAAATTTACTAGCATTTTCATGTCTAAATTTAACTAGTATAAGTTTTGCCATAGAGGAAAATAACGGCGCTTTACTACAAGATTCCCTTTTTTTCTAAATAAACGTGTTATCATATGACACTACTTAATTATCATGCATACATTAGTATCAATCACCTTTTTAATGCCAAAACATATGTTTTATCCACATGATACAGCATGTAAATATTTCACAAGTTTAAGAATGACATTCTTTTCCATTGTAAAATTACAAGTATGAAATTCATGATTTTCACGTGCATGAACCACCAACTCTCCCCACCTAATCAAAATAAATTAATTTTGTAGAAATCATTTAGTTGATTCAAACATTTCATAGTAAAACATATATTTGCGCAAAGTACTCATCGGTATAGTAAATTGATTATACCATTATTGTTCAGAGTTAAATGTGTTGTGTAATTAACTATTTCACATTGCGAATTGTGTATGGACTTGAAATTATAAGGACGTACCTTTAAGAATGCCATTTTTCTCCTAAATAAATATTAATATTTATTTCCGGATTTTAAAGTTAATGAAATGTTATGCATGGTATACTTAGAGTCTTTATAGGGCTTACTTATCATATTTGTCTTCTGTATGTGATATATTATCAATGCCTGTATTTTACTGTACATTTTAATGATTATCTTCAAATAATATTTACGTAGAATGTTA